CCAGTGGTTTGTTCTGTTTGTCCTCCACCTGGAAGTGCTTCACATGCTCTCCTGGCAGCCGGCTGGGCTCCCGCACGATTTTCACCTGCTCGGCTTTCAGGGCAATGGCTTGTTCCAGCAGCCCCAGGTTGCCCCTGGTCATCATGTCGTACATCTCCGACTCATCAGTCACGGCTGATTTCTGGGAGCGGGCATCGTCGTCCTTGTCGTCATCCGACCGGACCTCCACGATGACCGAGTACTCGGGCTTGGGGCTGAACTGCCCCTCACAGTGGCTTTTCTGGGGGTCCTGAGAAGTGTGAGGAGCTTCCTCGCAGATCACTTCAGGAGCCATCTCCTCCTCCTCTTCCTCCTCCTCTTCTTCCTCTTCCTCCTCCTCCTCCTCATCCTCTTCCTCCTCTTCCTCCTCATTCTCCTCCTCATCCTCATCCTCCTCCTCATCCTCCTCCTCCTCCTCACGCTCGGGTGCCCTGGCAGTGCCACCCTGCAGCCCCAGAGGAGCCGGGCAGTGCTGTGCCTGTCCCCGGACACCCAGCTCATCCCATCAGGGACCCGTGCTGGGAAAAGGCAGCTGGAGCTGCAGGGACAGCTGTGCTGGGAACACCTTCCACAGCCCAGGGTGCCATGGACACACCTTCCACAGCCCAGGGTACCATGGACACACCTTCCACAGCCCAGGCTGCCCCAGGAACACCTTCCACAGCCCAGGGTGCCATGGACACACCTTCCACAGCCCAGGGTGCCATGGACACACCTTCCACAGCCCAGGGTGCCATGGACACACCTTCCACAGCCCAGGCTGCCCCAGGAACACCTTCCACAGCCCAGGGTACCACAGGAACACCTTCCACAGCCCAGGGTACCACAGGAACACCTTCCACAGCCCAGGCTGCCCCAGGAACACCTTCCACAGCCCAGGCTGCTCCAGGAGCTGCAGGAGCTCATTCCACACCTCAGTCCTGTTCCTGCCGCTGTTCCAGCCTGGGCTGAGTGGGGAGAGGCACCAGGCCAGGGGATGCTGCAGCCTCTGCCCACCCCCAGCTCCTCCTTTGAAGCAGCAACACTCAGCAGAAGTGCAAATGAAGCACTCGTTCCTCAGCCCGAGTGCTTCCAGAGGTGTGGGTTTCTGTAGTTCAAAGAGGGAAGCACCTCTTTATCGCCTCCATTATTCCTGCTCTTTGTGCTGATTCTCACTTTCCCAGTTACTGAGTCAGGAAGTTCCAATCACTTGAATTTCAACACCCAATCTTCGCAATTAAAAAAAGAAACAACGTGTTTTTAGATACTTTGGGTGCAATCATTAATCGTCATCATTGAAAAGATTTTCGCCTCCTGAATTTTGCCGCTCCTTAATTTGCATAGAAAAAATAATATGTGAAAGTAATTAAGATGAACAGAGGCTTAATTATCCTGCATGGCAGGGTCAAAGTGTCGCAATTAATGTTCATCCAAGGGTAATTAATTTCGAGAAGCTTTGAAAACTCCACTTCCTTTTTATTCCAGCGTGGTGCCTCCATTCTCACCGACCACCTGCTTCTCCTTGGAATTTCTGAGAAACTTCCACGTGATTGTGGCTGACATGAACTGGAGCAGGGCTTTTTCCCGTGCACAGGAGTTGTGTGTGTGCTTTCACAGATTTTACACTATTCCAGCTATCCTGTAATATGGAATCCAACTGCATCCCAGTGCTGTCCCTGCATCCCAGTGCTGTCCCTGCATCCCAGTGCATCCCTCTGCATCCCAGTGCTGTCCCTGCATCCCAGTGCTGTCCCTGCATCCCAGTGCTGTCCCTGCATCCCAGTGCT